GAAGCGGGGGGGGGGGGGAATGATTCATTTGAAATCTGGTGCTGCAGGAGAGCTTTGTGGATACCTTGGATTGCCAGAAAAATGAACAAGTGGATCCTAGATAAAACCAAGCCTGAACGATCTCTGACTTAAAACAGAAACTACCAGTTTAGCTTTCTATAAATTAAGTTACAAGAAAGCTCTCCGTAAGTCACGGCAGGGATAAATACAGACTAAAATATTTGGATCCCAGAAGCTTGCTAAACTGTGGATTCGTTGCTTCTCCTTACCAGTAATCCTTCCCAGGCGGCCTTCATAGAAACGGCCCACCAGGCCTGCGACATGTGCTCCGAGACTCACGCCAATAATGTGGATGGATGCCTCCGCCACGCCTAATGCCTGAAAGTCAAAAAAGCAAGGATAATCTGTGGCATTTCAGAATTTCTTTCTCAAAGCCCTTCCTCACTACTTAATCAGGTAATTCTTCAGTGTAGGTAATTTAAAATAATCCCAGGACTCTTAGCAAACTATTACTAATTACGACACCTAGCTTCATGTGTTTGACCTTCTATGCCCATTCTACTCAATTATCTACCTAAGTGGCAGACAAAGCCAAAATTAAGACAGCTTTAAAACCAACTGTAGTACTGTATCTTGTATGCAGTATATCACAGAAGTGAGTACACCCCCTTACATTTCATAAATATTTTAGTATATCTTTTCATGTGACAACACTGAAGAAATGACATTGGGTACAATGTAAAGCAGTGAGTATACAGCTTGCATAACAGTGTAAATGTGCTGTCCCCTCAAAAAAATGCAACACATAGGAATTAATGTTTAAACTGCTGGCAACAAAGGTGAGTACAATCCTAAGTGACAATGTCCAAACTGGGCCCAAGTAGCCATTTTCCTTCCCTGGTGTCATGAGACCTGTTAGTGTCACAAGTCTTGGGTGTGAAGGGGGAGCAGGTGCTATCACTCTCACTCTCTCAGACTGGTCACTGGAAGTTCCACATGGCATCTCATGGTAATGATGAACTATTTGAAAAAACAAATTGTTGCTGTACATAAAGATGGCCTAGACTATAAGACGACTGCCAAAACCCTGAAATTGAGCTACAGCACGGTGGCCAAGGCCATGCAGCGGTTTAACAGGACAGGTTCCACTCAGAACAGGCCTCACCACGGCCAACCAAAGAAGCTGAGTGCTCGTGCTCAGCATAATATCCACAAGTTGGCTTTGGGAAATAGACGTATGAGTGCTGCCAGCATTGCTGCAGAGGTTGAATGGGGTGGGGGTGGGGGTCAGCCTGTCAGTGCTCAGACTGTATACCGCACACTGCATCAAATTGATCTCCGGGGCTGTCGTCCCAGAAAAATGCCTCTACCAAATATGATGCACAAGAAACCCTGCATACCGTTTGCTGCAGACAAGCAGACTAAGGATATTGATTTCTGGAACAATGTCCTGTGGTCCGATGAGACCAAGATAAACTTATTTGGTTCAGATGGTGTCAAGTGTGTGTGGCAGCAACCAAGTGAGGAGTACAAAGATGAGTGTGTCATGCCTACAGTCAAGCATGGTGGTGGGAGTGTCATGGTCTGGGGCTGCATGAGTGCTGCCGGCACTAGGGAGCTACAGTTCATTGAGGGAACCATGAATGGCAACATGTACTGTGACATATTGAAGCAGGGCATGATCCCCTCCCTTCGGAGACTGGGCCACAGGGTGGTATTCCAACATGATCACGACCCCAAACATACCTTCAAAACGATCACTGTCTCACTGAAGAAGCTGAGGGGAAAGGTGATGGACTGGCCAAGCATGTCTCCAGACCTAAACCCTATTGAGCATCTGTGAGGCATTCTGAAATGGAAAACGGAGATAGAGCATCTGTGGGGCATTCTGAAATGGAAAATGGAGATACGCAAGGACTCTAACATCCACCAGCTCTGTGATGTCATCATGGAGGAGTGGAAGAGGACTCCAGTGGCAACCTGTGAACCTCTGTTGAACTCATCATTGAGGAGTGGAAGAGGACTCCAGTGAACCTGTGAACCTCTGTTTACACCCAAGATGGTTAAGGCAGTGCTGGAATATAATGGTGGCCACACAAAATACTGACACTTTGTGCCCAATTTGGACATTGTCACTTAGGGGTGTACTCATTTTTGTTGCCAGCTGTTTTGACATCAATGGCTGTATGCTGTGTTATTTTGAGGGGACAACACATTTGCACTCGTCTACAAGCTGTATACTGACTGCTTTACATTGTAGCCAAGTGTCATTTCTTCAGTGTTGTCACATGAAAAGATACTGTATACTAAAATATTTATGAAATGTGAGGAGGTGTACTTAGCATTGATATACTTCTGTGATATACTGTATATGATATTTAAAACTTGTTTTGCACTCACAGAAAATACAAACTTGAAATCCAGTAATTGTATTCAAAGTTTTCCAGAAAATAAAACAGAGCAACAGAACACGTTCCAACAACTAAATGCTCTCAAACTTACTGTATTTAGAATCAGTACAGCAAAACTATATACAAAACAACCAATGGGAGGCAATAGATAAACGGCCAAGTGGGTAAGAAGGAAATAATCAGCTAGCCCTTGTTTGCAGATTTTAAAGGTAGCTTTATAGTGACCCTGCCTCCTGCAAATCTGGATGGTTGCAGTACAGCAACCTTAACAAGGTGCTAACAAGTATGGATTGGCAAATTCCTCCACTCTGTCTGCTGGTTCTTTTGTGATCCACTACTGCAAATTCATCCAGAGAAACCCAATTCACAGGTGATCACTTCACATATTTCCTCTTGTGTAGTTGATATGTCAAGTCACCTAAGCTGTCATGATGGAGATTATGTTATGGCATACAAGTTAAGCCTAGAAAGCTAAAGCAATTCTTTTCACGTTCTCTTAATCATCAGGAAAGGAACAGCCATGTTTTGTATTAATAACCTTTAGAATAATGTTGAGGGACAGCACTTCCTAAATTCCATTACAGCAGTCAGGCATAAGGGTTACAGAAGCACAGACTGGTGTACTCTATAAAAGGGGGCCAAGCTGTCCCTAACAGTTGAAACTGGAAGAAAGCACTGCTTGTCACTGCAATTACTAATTTACCCAGGACCAAGGCAAACACTTTGCTCATAGTTTTGTGTACGGAATATAAGATACATTCAGCTCCTCCTTGCGTGCTGGAGAAGAAGGAACGTTGACTATTCTAGATCCAGCACCTCTTCCTCTGTTTTAGCCAAATTCACTGACTCAGAAGTATATTTCCACCTACCTGCAACTTACGGATAAAACTGGATATTTCCAGTCCCAGCTTCATAACATTTCCCACAGCAATCGGATAAGCTGCTGTGGCTCCATGAACCCAGTCAACAGCTATCACATTGGCTTGGGCCGCCCGTAGCAAAGTCTCAATTAGCCTATTTATCCAAGAGGGCTTTGTACCAAGTGCTCTGAGGAAAGACAGACAAAAACAATTGGATGTGTGGGGTTACCTCCTTTTGCAATGGAAGGGCGAGACCACAGGTTTTGACATCCAATAAATAAGCTCACTCAAAATTTATTCACCAGTGAAAGTTTACTTCCCATTTAAAATTTTCTCACCAACTAAAGTCTGATTCTCAGATGGTTTAAAGTTGTCTTTTTGTGTGAGGTCACAGTCTCATACTCTCAGATGGTTTAAAGTTGTCTTTTTGTGACAGGTCACAGTCTCATACACTTCCTATACTTAAGCAGCAATCATGGGGAAACACACCTGGTCTAAAAGACCACTCTAGGCTGCTTCTCATACTTATGCAGCAATCATGGGGAAACACATTCTGTAGACAGATGCTATGAATCAAAACTAGAAGTTATTGGAAAGTGTGAGACTAATAGGTGGACCACTTCTTGGATGCACACCTTAACATGGTGAGGGGGTTTGATCATGTCAGAGAAGCCAAGAGTGATGTCATCAGGAGGCTAAATTCTATTACAAGCCTGGGCTCCTAGCAGGGCCACCCAAGGCAGAAAGTAAGATGTGTCCACCCTTTTCAAGAGTAATGACTGCATCAGCAGAAAAGAATGGATAGTTCCAATGGTGATGGGAACATAGAAACATCTGGAAGGCAGCTGCTGAGCAGGAGCTACTGAGTAACTAAAGGTGACACTGGTGGAGGTTCTTCACAGTCAACAGCAGTGTCACTCAGGTAAAGTTTTCTTAGTATTGTGCAGTGGAAACAAAGGTAAAGCACTGCCGAACCTTTCTTGCCTTGAAAACCCTATGATGAGCCAATCCAAAATGAATCAAGAGATAGTGCTGGAAGATGAGTCTCCCAGGCTGGAAAAAATCTAGCTACTGAGCAAGAGTAAAATACAAGTTCAAATAGCCCTGTAACTAATGACACAATTAGATTAAAGCTGAAAGGACATCTATTGGCTGATGTGCATAGAAGTGAAAGGAAAGTCTGATGCTGCACAACACACACAATTGGAACATGTATGAATGAAGGTAAACTGGAACTTCTAAAGCAAGAAATGGAATGTTTAAACATTGCAGTGCTTGATGTTGGTGAACTAAAGTTGACTGGAATAAGACATTTGCAGTTACACAGCTACAAATTGTTTTACTCTGGAAATGATAAATTCTGGAGAAGTGGAGTGTCTCTAATACTGAGGCAAGATGTAGTATGGGCAGTTGAGGGCTATAATGCAATCTTGGACAAAATAATATCAATCAGACTTCTGGGGAAAACCTGTTAATGCAAATATAATTAAAGTCTATCTATGCTGCTACTACAGATGCTGAAGAAGATGAAACTGAAAGCCTTTATGCAAGCATCCAGGAAGAAATTGATCACACACAAAAACCAGACAGGTTTATAGTCATAGGCGAGGAGAACACAAAAATGGGCAACAAAACAGAATTAAATGTTGGAAAATTTGGCTCGAGTTAAAAAACAAAACAGGAGAATGACTCAGAATTCTGTGAAGATAACTATCTGCTTAGTGCAAATACATGCAATAAAGGATGACAGATTTCTTTGAAGAGCAATCATATGATGAAGAACTTGTAATTCTAGAAAGTGAAGTGAAGGCAGCTTTAAAACCACAGGGAAAAAATAATTAACCGGGTATATGGGATACTGATGGAACTATTTCCAGTCAGAGAGGCTGAATCTGTCAACATTCTAAAAAGGACATGCCAACAAATATAGAAAACAAACAAATGAATAGAAAATTGGTGGGAAAAGCATCAATAATTTAAGATATGCAGATGACACAAAACTGAGTGGAATAGCTAATACCGTATGCTGAAAAACAGAAAAACAATTCAAAAATATCTTAATTGGCTCAAGCACTGGCTGGAAACAACAGAATTAAATTTAACAGGGACATTCTATGTTCTACATCTAGGAAAAGGAAATCAAATGTGTCACTGGAGACCAAGACCAAGATTATCCACACTCTTGTATTCCCAGTCACCATGTATAGGTATGGAATTTGGACAGGAAAGAAAGCTAACAGGAGAAAAATAGTGTTGGAGGAAAGCTTTGTGGACACCCTGGAGTGCCAGAAAGACAAACAAGTGGATCCTAAAGTCAATCAAGTCTGAACGATCTCTGGAAGGGGGAAAATGGATGAAACAATGGTTGTTCTGCTTTGGGCACATTTCAAGAAGGCAACATTCTCTGGAAAATCCGATAATGCTGGGAAAAACTGAAGGTAGCAGGAAAAGAGGGAGACCAAATAAGAAATGGCTTGACTCTGTAAAGGAAACCACAGGCTTGAGTTCACAACAGCTGAGCAGGGCAGTTGGCGACAGGACATTTTTGGAGATTGCCCCTTCATAGGGTCAGTGTAAGTTGGTGGCAACTTGATGGAATGCAACAACAACAACAACAACAACAACAACAACAACAACAACAACAACAACAACAACAACAACAACAGTCAGTGAAAGGTATATTCTTCTGAAAGCAGAAGTGAGATAATTCTGTACTATGAAATATCTTGAGTAGGGATGGGCATGAGCCACTGGTTTGGTGGTTTGGCACAGTCCATTTCCCGGCCAAACAGTTGATACAGGAAGAGGTGGGGTGGGGCTCTGCTGCTGAGCGGGCACCTGTTGGAGAGGGTGGGATGCCAAACCATGGATCAGCTGCTCAGCTGAGAAATGAATTGTGGAAAAACTGCTGAACCAGTGGTTCCTGCCCATCTCTACTCCTGAGTTCAACAACTGGATGCATATACACAGTCGAGAAGCTTTTACTGCAACTGGTACCAAACACCTAGACATAAAACCTGAAATATGTTGACTTCGGCCATAATAAATAAAATTATACATAAAATGTAATGTACAGAGTCTGCACACAGGAGTTTTAAGTGTATTGATTTTTTAAAAAAAAACCACTCTTGCAGAATAAAAATTCTCCCTTGCGTGTGTTTGTGCCAGCAGCTGATAGTCAATACAGTAATTACTTGGTCTTTGTTGAAAACATAAAATAACAATTAGTTTAGAAACACATGTAAAATAAAATAAAACTCATAGTTTTACACATAGACATATTGCTACTTGCTATCTCCCAAAGGTTTAAAAAAATGAAAAAAAAATTACCCCCTCCCAAATTCCTAGGGAATGTTTGTCACCATTTGTTTTTAATGTTGGCCACTAGAAGGCAAAAGGGGGCTTTTAAAATACAGAATCTTCATAGAAAAGAAGTGGGGGGGGCTATGGTGCTTTAAGGCAGTGGTTCTTAACCTTTGTTACTCGGATGCTTTTGAACTGCAACTCCCAGAAACCCCAGTCAGGACAGCTGGTGGTGAAGGCTTCTGGGAGTTGCAGTCCAAAACTCCTGAGTAACCCAAGGTTAAGAACCAGTGCTTTAAGGTCTGTGATTGCAGATGTGCATTCTCTAGATCTCTGGAGCTTGCCCACCCCTGCTCTGGATGGTCACTACACAAGACAAGATAGAGAAAACTGCTGTTATATATTGTTTTGATTGGTTTTCTGCATCCATTGTTCAGATTATAGCAAACCTGGAGTCTCATTTAATTGCTGTAGCTAATAGCATTTCATAGACATTTCTGCTCTTATTTTTTTTCTAATATTTTTTAAATGACTTTTGTATTATCTCACATCTTAGGACTCCAAAAATCAATCATGTCCTTTTGGAAGATGTACTTAATTTTATTAATCCTGAACTTATTACTAACCAATTGCAGTAAGTGTCCTGAGTTCTAGTGTGACAAGGAGAGAAAAAATGTCCCTGTATTTGAGCTGCATAGTAATCCTTAATGTTGTAACCTTTATCATGTTCTCTCCATCATCATTTCTTCTAAATAAAAGGGCTCAAACAGTTAAAAATCTCCCTTGCACTGAACTGTTCCAAGGGTCTGATAAATTCACAGTGCAGTCTTTGGCTGACAGTAAGATACTCTTGACTACTGAATATATACAGTTGCCAGGATATAGTTGCTATGCTGGTGTAACCTAAAATTTCAGTACAAATTCCAATGTATCTTGGCTGGTATATGTGCTAAAAGTTACCAGGGCTGGAGTAGGAGTGGTATGCACTGAACATCTTAAACTATCTCAGATCCCTTTCTGTCCCATAAACCATGGTTCTGTCACTTAGGAACTCCTTCCAGAGAAATATACTGTACTCACTCCAACCTTTTAGGAGAATCTTCTTACGCTGTTGTAACATAAAATTAAGCCTGTATAAGTGTGCCAGATATTATGCCCAGGCAGCCAGCATTGTGCAATTTGATTGTGCAACTGAACGCACATTTGCTGTCATGGCTATTGCACAGCATGCCTTAAAGGTTTTTCATGAACATAATTTGTACCCTGACACAATTTGTACTACTGCTTCTGTAGCTTCCCATTATGCATGCATAGCTGTGCAACAGGATTTCAGTCTTTAGTTTAGCTTCTGTTCAGCTTCTGAATGTTCCTAGAATTGCCTTGTTCAATGGTCAGTCTTTATTCTGTTGCCGTTACTATCATGTTCTGGTGTGCTGCATTTTATATAACAATTTAATCTGTTGTGAGCTGCTTTGACATTGGTGATCCTGACAAGTGTCCTGTACTTATTGAAATAAATAAAAATAATCAAAAGTGATTGCTGCAAAAGATTAGCTAGCTGAAAACAGTTGTCTATCTAGTTTGTCTCACCAAATGCATTGCTAATTGTTGGCACTACAACCTCTTCCTCTCCGTACTCTGTGCATGCCAGGCAAATGGTGGACTATCTTATGGTTGTACCTGAAGCCATGGATGATTATTTTGGTTCCCAAACTAGCATTGAAGCTAGAGTTCTGGATGTCCCCGCTGATTGAAAGCAACTCTCCACAGCTGGGATTCAGAGAAGAGAACAGAAGAAACTGGACTCTGAGATTGGTACCCCTCAGAAAGCTTGCAGATTGGAAATCAGTGCATCCTTGATTTCTCATTTCTCCAGATCCTGAAATGAGATTTAAACAAAGCAAATGTCTTGATAAGTCTTGTTAAGTCATTTCTAATTTACAGCAACCCTATGAATTAAAGACCTCCAAAAATGCCTATCATTAACAGCACTGCTCTTGCATAGATTGACTCAATAAAGGCCATGGCTTCCTTTATTGAGTCACTCTATCTTACATTAGGACCTTCTCTTTATCTACTGCTTTCAGGTTTGCCAACATTATTTTCTTCTCTAATGAGTCTTCTCTTCTCATGACGGCTGGAATCATATTACTGTAGTGTTCATGTGAGTCTTGCATAACTCACATTGCAAATTTTGGTTTTGCAGTTGGTGCATGATCAGCCAGATGTACTTGGCACCTTGTCAGTTAGGCATGGCAAGTTATGCAAACATTACATGAACAGCAACAAGAATCTGGCAGATACGTCCAAAGTACAATAGCTCCTGTCTAATAATTTTAGGGTGCAATTAGACAGCTGAGTGATCCTGGCCTGGATCATCTAGATTGTGCTAAACAGTGTTGGTCTGTCATTTGGGGCCATTGACCACATTGCACTTCAAATGACCCTGATTAGCACGATCCAGACCAATCCTCTTTCCTTTTAAAGGGGAAAGAAGTTTCCCATTTCTTGATATCACTAAACAAAGCACAAAGGAGGAGACAGGAGGATGACTTATTTCCATTTAAATGGGAAGCTTTCTTTCTGATCACCTGATGAGGGGAAGGGAGATTAAACTTTCATTTTCTTTTTAATTGTTGCTAACTGGTACAGTGCATCAACAATGCATTGACAGGGCTTAAAAAACAACCTTTAAAAGCATGAAACGTTAGCAACAATTAAAAAGAAATGCAAAACTTACTTTCCCTTTCCCTTCACAGGCAAACAGAAGGGAAGTTTTCCATTTCTTCCGATTGTTAAGTGGCTTCACCAAAGGGACAGCCAGCCAGTAACTTTGGTTTGATCCTGGTGATCACAAACACTGGGACCAAATCAAAACAAAGTGATCACACCTGCACCAAAACAAACAAGCAAACAATCCAGCACCTCCTGACAGGGACCATCAAAAGACATGGGTATGCATTGATCAGTGGTGAACTGGTTTGCAATGGCATGTGTGTCATGTGGTCAACCTGAGCTGAAGAGCGAGACAAATGCTTAGATTCCAATGAGAGTTCAAGCTTGGTTTAATCTAGAATCTATTTATGTACCTTTCTGGCAATTCATGCACAACATTGTCCTTCAACACCACAATTCAAATAAATTATTTTTTTCTTGTCAGCTTTCTTAATTGTTCGGTTTGCACATCTACACATCATAATCTGAAATTGTATAATATGGATGTTTGTTTGTTTGTTTTGCATTGGTCTCCAGCAATACAAAAAGCAGCCAATGTGATGTTCAGAGGAGGCACTGATGAATCACCTGGGAAACGTTCTGGGAGAAGTCATGTAAACTGGTCCTGGAAATGAGTTTACATTGATGGAAAAAGGCAAAGTTAGTAGCAGGGTTCCGTATAGAATGGATGATGGTGATACAGTCCATAAGAAGGAAGCTTGTTGATACTAGCCATAGGGATTGTTGTAAGAGCAGCTGTGAAGAGGGTAGTGATGTGAATACAAAGAGGATGGTAATGCCAGTGTCTATTGTTACTGACGTTGAAGTGAGCCTCAGGAGTGACAGTGGGGGCAGCAATCAAAGATAAGTGAGCAAGATCAGATTTGACATTTAACCACAGATCAATGAGGAGACCTAGGATGATGGTTTACAGGTGAGTAAGGAGTTGCACGGTGGTGAGGAGATGGTGAGAAGGTTGGTCCCAATGGAGTGAAGAATCTTGAGGGGGTGGAAAAGACATACAATGGAAATTATGGCTGGAGGATAGAGACAGAACAGGTGGCATGAGACCATAGGCTGCACAGACTTCAAGACCAGTTTGGGAGAAGGAAACTGGGATGCAACAGAATCCCAAATGCAACAGAAGATGTAATAAGTTTTCTCTCTGAGTAAGAAAGCAGTGTTCTGGACCTTTGAAATGGCCATTGACCATGGGAGATTCTAGCTGCCGAAAATCCACGTCCAGAGTTGGTGGGAGCAGTGGATTTGGCAGCAAAATAATGATCAGAGTCAATTCAGGATTGAAATAGGAACCAAAGTCAGTACAGATGGGACTGACCTTGATGTGGAGGGTCTGCCCTGGCCTGGAGGCAAGATACAGAAGAGGACTGAAGAGGGCGACTGGGGGCCTATTTGTCCTGCTTGTGACTCTTCTTATGGGAGAGTGAACAAGAGCGAGCCCTCTTAAAGGTGAAATGGTATGTAGACATTTCTGAAGTTGAAAATGGCCTAGAGGTTGAATAAGGCATTGGAGAGCAGGCTGAAAGCTGTCCAGCTGAACAGGTGGCTGACATGGGATATATGGCAGCTGAGGCACTCAACACTGCGTTTCCTGATCTGATGTCAGGAGAACTTTCTCCCAGAAGGATCCCTGGAGACAGAACTGTCAGCTTCAAAGTGCAGGCTTTGACAAATTATGCATAAATGTATAAATATATGCCATATACTCTCACTCTTATGTCTGAGGAAGTGGACTGCATCCACAAAAGCTCATATTAAAATATAAAAGTTAGCCTTTAAGGTGCAACAACATTTTTGTCTTTCTTTCTTTCTTTGCTACTGTTTTGTTTTTTTGTCTGAGATTATTACTAGAGATGTGGGTATTCTTATATGAATTGTGGAAGGACGTTGGGGTCCTTCAACTAATCTGCAAGATAGAAGCTCTCCCACCAAGACTATATAGACTCCCCAAAATCCACAAAGGGTCAATCCCAGTCAGGCCCATTGTAAGTGCCATTGGCTCCGCCAATATATGAATTAGCAAAACATACCTAGCCACCCTCCTACAGACACCACATTGGACAAACCTCATCCTACATCAAAGACTCAGGACATTTTATAAACAAGATCAGCACCCTGAAACTCAACTGCAGGGACAGACTGATCAGCTTTGACGTAGTATCCCTATTCACCAAGGTACCAATAAAGGACACTCTGACACTCATCCAGCAGATCTTTTCAGAAGACATCACGGCCCTTTTCCAACACTGCCTAACGACTAGCTACTTTCAATGGGATACAGTAATGATTTTTATGAAGAGACAGATGGAGTGGCCGTAGGAAGCCCCCTCAGCCCAGTAACAGAGAATGTCTACATGGAACATTTTGAAAAACAGGCCCTGGCTTCGGCACCCTTCGCACCCAAAGTCTGGTTCTGATATACGAATGACACCTTTGCAATTTGGAGACATGGTGAAGAAAAACTGGAAGAATTTCAAAACCATCTCAACAGCATCCACCCAAATATACAATTCAC